CATGGTTTGGGCAATTTCATGGTTTGGGCAATTAAGAAATTTAGATTTGCCTGCTAGGGAGAAAGAGAATTATAGATATAGTTAGCCATCCAGCACTATCCCAGAATGGGTATGTGGAAATGGTGAACAAATAAAGATACATCCCTTTAATTATATGAGAAAAATTAGCTTAGGATTTTTATGTGATTACAATTTTAAAACCTCTATAGTTGATCATAATCGATGATCGTTTGAGCCAAGTTGGTCCACGTTTTCATATAGTTCCCATATAACAGTATCTCTCATATTTAGTATTTTGATGATTTTAGCGACATTATTCACGGGAATTGTCTCAAATTCGTGTCTGGTATTTCGGTGATTTAGCCGTCTGTCTGTCTGTAGATTAACACTGTGCGACAGAATTCATTTTTTGGAATAATTAGGAGAAGAATGCAGCAGACTATGAAAGTATAAGTAACCACGTAAGGAAAGGCTAAAGTCGTGCGGGACCGACCATGTGATACCCTGCCCAGATGTTACCCTTAGGTTTTTGACTCGGAGTATTTGACCAATATTCACGTACTCCGTCGTGTTGTATTCAAAACAATTTCACACGAAAGTTGTGGTCCGTTTTATAGTTAAATACAATCCAATAGTTATACAAAATGCTAAACTTCTTCCCTGTCCTTAACCCTCTTCTGATGCGAAATTTCGTGTCGAATAGTTTTCAATTGTGGCCTATAGAGCGACTTCAATTTAGAAAATTTTTGATTTTTTTAGTCCTTTTGAACCCATTATATCTTAAGAACAATAGACTTTAATTCTGACTCTAACGCTACCCAATGTAAATTCTTGAGGATTGGACAATAATTGGGACATGTATATAATACCCTCAGAGCGTAGTGTTGAGGAGTGTAAAACTTTAGAAAATTTTCAATTCAAGATAGTAAGTCACTTTGAAAAAATCGCATTCGACAAAAAATATGACATAAATTGAAAAAAATGGAACAAAAAATATTTACTCATTTATTGGTATATTTTTCCGCGATTTCATCCTTTTCTGTCTAGAAACCATTCCGAATCGGGGGAGATTTTGAAATCGGCCCAGCGGTTCTTGACTTATATGCAGAATAAATAAGATCTCTTTCTTTTACATATATTTTGTTCCTATTTTGCTATTTATCCGATTTCTTGGCTATCAGCATCGCTTTAGTGGTCAGGAGTGACCTTTTAATGTATTTGTGGTTTGGCTGGGGTTAAAAATATCCTCGTTTAATGGAAATTTTCCTAATGTCTTACATAAAAGTTAGGGTCTATTTTACTCGCTAAATTTCTGTCCGATGGCCGCCCTAATTGGTAGGCTTCCGCCCAGTCCTGAATTCTAACTCCACGTAAATTTCCGCGTCGCTTGGTTCATAATTGTGGCCTACAGAGCAACTGAAAAATCAGGAACATTTTCTGTTTTTGGTCCATTTCAACCCATAAATATTTTGCAATCATCTCAAAAAACAATAGGGTTCTATTCTGACCCTAATCCCACCTTCATTTTCAATATCGTGAGGATTGGGCCATTATTGCGACATGTAACTTCATTACAAATTAACGTGGTCAGACGGACGGACAGACATGCATAGCTAGATCGACTCAGTTCGGCGAGATAGGAAGATTCATATTTACTTTCCTATGTGGGAAACCAATATTTCAAGGTGTTACATAATTCTTGGCCCAATCAAACAAACATATTTGTATACCCTCCCCCATTTGGTACAAATTTGGCAATTTTCAAAATAATAAGACCCGTTAAAAATCCTGTTAAAATCTTAAAAATACCGAATGTAGCCGTATATTAGGGTCTATAAGACGACGTGGACCTCCATAGACAACTTCTGTCATAAGCTATTACAATATTCAAATGCGAAACTTGAAAAAAAATATATATTTATAATGTAGCTAAAATCATCAAAATACCGAATATAGGGAGGTACCATGGGGTTATGAAACAGGCACCTGCACAGACAATTTTCTGTCTTATGCTGTAGTATCCATTACGAACTTCAAATATGAATTTTGAAATAATTCCGGTACACAATGTCACTAAAATCTTCAAAATTTCCAATATCGGAAGGAACCGTTATATGGGGGACTATACGAAGACGTGGACCTACATGGCCCCTTTTCTGTCTTTTTCCATTACTTCAACTATCAATTTTGAAGCAATTCCGGTAAATAATGTCGCTAAAATTATTAAAATACCGAATGTCGGGAGGTACCGTTATATGGGGGCTATAGGAAGACGTGAACCTACATGGCCCATTTTCCATACCAGAAGTCCTGCAGACATGATACACATTTGAGTAAATTTTTATCAACATACTTCATTTCATTCGGAAGCTAGAGCGATTTCCACAGACGGACAGACGGACGGACATTGCTAAATCGACATAGAATTTTATGCTGATCAAGAATATATATACTTTGTGGGGTCTAAAATGTGTATTTCGATGTGTTACAAACGGAATGACATAATGAATATAACATCCATACTATGCTTTTGATTAGGTACGAAACTCTTTTAAGATATTTTTAACCATTTATAAAAAATGGGCAAAAATACATTTTCCACCAAAATATTCCAAGGAAATACCCCATCTACTTTGGTTATATATCGATATAAACGTACAAAACGCCGATACGCTTGCCTTCTTTTTATACCGTAAATATTTGGCTACAGAGGGTAGATATTATTTCATATGGCCAAAACTTGCCTCATAGAAATGACGGTTTAAGACTTTAGGTCTATTTAGACCTAATCCGTTTCAGCACATTTGTTGTCGTTCTAGGGGGGTTTGTTCCTCGGTCCGTCTGTCTGTCCGTCTGACACCTCACTATCTCTATCTCTCTTGAAATACGAAATGACCGCCCGATTCTCTTTGAATTTCACACATTTTAAAATTTATACTAACATAATATCTGTTGTCATGATCGTATATATCGGCCCACTTCTTCTGGTACCTCCCCCACAAAGCGTCAATATTTTGAATAACTAAAACACGAATTATGCATCTGATTCTCTTCAAATTTCACGCATCCCAATATTTGTTCTAACACAAAATTTGCTGAGATGTTCGGTATATCGGTTCACTCCTTTTGGTACCTCCCCCACAAAGGTTCACAATTTTGGATAACAAAACGCTCATAAAATATGAAGCTAGCATTCGATTCTGTGCAAATTCCACACATCCCAACATTTTTACTAACGCAACTAACTTTATCGGCTCTCTTCTTCTGGTTTTCCATAAGATTTTACAACGCAATGATTTTATTAATTTAAGATGAAGTGGAATAGTTCTGTCCACTATATCTGGTACTTCAGGCAAATGTCAAAATTTTTGCTTGTAACATGGAGATAGTTACCTTTGATTATAGAATCACCTTCTGAGTCGATTTATGCATGCCAGTCCAGCCCAGTCCGTCTGTCCGTCCGTACATGTATTCTTGTGAACAAAATGTAGGTCGCATTTATTACCCGATTGAGATGAAATTTTGCAAACAATATTTATTTGATCCAAGGGCGAACCCTATTGAAATTTGCGATAAAGGTCCAAATGACCTCTATTTTTGTACATCCAACCGAATTTAGTCTAGAAGCAAGTAAATCAAATATGAATCAAAAATTAAATCGGTTCAGATATAGCTATAGCTCCCATATATATTTTATCCAATTTGGGGTTTAAAGTACCTCACAAGCTTAATATGCATTCCACAAAAATGACTTTTTGGAACCGGATCGGAAGATCGATTTAGATTTGGATATAGGTCCCATATATATTTGCATATGATTTCGGGTTAATTGTGCACCAAATGGCCAATATCAGCCCAAATGACCTTAATCCCTTCCGACCGATTTGGTCTTTAAGTCTCTCACATTCCTAATATGCACTCCACAACCGTAATATTTGGCACCAGATATCAGTTATAGCCCAAAAATAGGTCTTTTAGATTTTATCAAAATCAGTTCAGATTTGATTATAGCTGCCATATATATCTTCGGCCGATTTCGGGTTAATTGAGCACCAAATGGCTGATATTAGCCCAAATGAAGTGAATTTTTGCACTTCCAACTGAATTTAGCCTAAAAGCAAGTGTTTCAAATTTGCTTCCATGTATATGTTTCAATCGATTTAGTGTTGAAATCTCCCACTTTCGAAATATACACTCTTCAATAATAATATTTTTTACCAGATATCTCATAGAGCTCAGAAATGCCCAATATAAACCTTTTTTTACGACAGATCTACTAAAAATTAATGATGGTGTAGGATATAATATAGTCGACCCCGCCCGAATTTTACCTTTCCTTACTGGTTTTTAACTTGTGTTAGCTTTACTTTCATAGTCTTCTGGAGTTTCCTCGTTTTTATTTTTTACAACGTCTGATTTCCATTATATATATATATTAGGTGTTACAGGGAGTTGTGCATCACATGATTATTAATTTAATCTGTTTCACTTATTCGGGTCTTTGCCCTCTTTATTTGTCGATTACACCAATCACGTTAATCCCTTCCAAACAAATGCCAATTATTTACGAGCATTATACGAAATCCCCAAAATGCAGCATTGCCGACTTAATAGCTTACAAAGCGCATTACACCGAATCCTAAGGCAACATAATTTCACACTTAAGCTGTTTTTGTTATTTATGCAAATCACATTGTCAATGTTTGTGGCTGGGTACCACATTGTTGAGTTTGTTTGTTTACAGATGTTGTTGCCATGAAGAACAAAAAAATTGTTATTTTTCTAAGGTTGAAAGAAATTTTTGGTTCTCAGATTTTTTTTCTTAAAACTGGCTCTCACAAATACTTTCTAAATTTCCATGGTAAGCACGTGAGGTATAGAAAGCACAAACACACACATATATACAAATATATATATTCCCATTTTTGTTTGAGAAAATGTAAGAGAAATCAAAGAAATAAGGAAGGCATACAAAAAGTAACAAGGATGGGAGAACCTACCGGAATGCAAAAGAAGCAAAACTAACACAGCATGGCAACTAATCCACATGATGTTTGTTTTGAAGTTTTGTTTTCGTTTACTTTTTCGATTTTTTTTTGTGGCTTCACTTTGCGCCCAATTCCAGTTGAAGGATTTCGTTGATATCACTTGATTTTGCACTGAGTGGATCTATGATATGGAGGCAAGGTTTTCAATTTGGCATTTTATTGCAATTTTTCTTTCAAAATTATGTTTTTTTTTATTTTTTAATTTTTGTTCTCTATTTGGCACTATTTTTGGATTTTATTTTTTCTTTACTTTCCATTTAATGCTGTTTTGAAATATTTTCACATTCGAACTCAATACACTTTCCGGTTTATTAGCGACTGCTCGATTCGAAGGCTTTGAAGCCTTTGTAGAAATTACATTCGATGTATTGAAATTATGCTGACATTACACTTGACATTTGTCAACGACCAGCAATTGCGCCCATAAAATTTTATCTCGCGCGCGCCTTTTCTTCGCTATCCTTATTTGTTTAATATTTTTTCTGCGTTTCCTATGTATTTAAACTTTCGTTGGGAGAGAGAGTCTCCCTTTGAAGCGCCACACCGTTAGCGGGTTCTTATTCTGTATGTGTAACACTGAATGCACTCCCTGTTCTCATATTGTTATTGTGGTTGTTGCAAATGCACTTTTACTCCTTCTCTCAGCGAATGCACACACTCACACACACGGACACTATTCTCTTTCTCTTCCCTATGTGTTTTTTCTCTCTATTACACTCTCACACTCCGACGGGGGATTTTTTTGTTTTGAGCTTAATATCCATAAACTTCCATTTTCCGCTTAACCGTACGTATCCTTCAGAGTCCCAACAGCTACTGAAATCGGAAATCTTAAATCGCCGCCACAAAGCTGCCAGTGCATCCATTCAACCTGCAGCAGCACCTCCACCAGCAATGTTATTCTCCATATTCCTTTTTGGTGTGGTGAATTATTGCCAGCTTTCAGTTTGCAATGTTTGGCAGCCATTTCTGTTAGTTTACTCTCAGAGTGCGCATGCTCCTCACCCTAAAGGGGCCACACACAGAGCTGAACATTGTCTGTGGTTAAGGACATTATCAATCGGCTTTGTTTTGAACTTTCATTCGCCTTCGTTTAGAATGTGTTTTTGTGTATGTGAGTGGGTGTGTGTGTGTTTTTAGTGTTAGCTAATGTGTTTGCGTGAGAGATTTTCTTTGATGCTGGGATGTTTACCAGACATATTTTGGCTTCAGCATCTTTTGGCGCTTAGTTGATTACATTACCGGTACACCGTTGGAATTCCATTCACAGAGTTTACGGTGTTAGACGTTCACATGCCTTGTTTCGGCAATGTTGAACGTCAGCCACTGTTACCCTCTGAATTGAAAAATTCAAAACAGTGTGGATGACATCGAGACGTATGCGAGAGAACTAAGAACCTTGATGAAACTTATCCATATGGGTATTGGGGACATGTACCATTAGATAGGCCAAAATGTCGGAGACTTGCCAACATGGTTAGAAGTCGTCTGCGAATAAAAACAAAAGTTCCAACAAATATTATCTAAATGTGTGAGCCAAATCTCAGAAATATAGATCAATTTAAAAATTATTTATAGAAAATTATTCGAATCGGTTGTTTAAAAACCTGCCCTAAGGATGAATTTTATTGGAATTAGTGATGTAGGTCCCACATATAAATTTCCCTGACATACATAATACAGGCCCAAATATTACAGCCCCAAATATCAGTGAGAGATTCACCTACCATATGAAATCCTACAGCACTGTACTTATATTTTGATATTATTGATGCTGTGCGAAAAAATTAAATTAAAACAAATCCATTCGATAATGAAAGTAAGTTCGGCCGGCCCTAACTTTGAATACCCTCCACCATTTGGAATGAATTTCGCAATTTTCAAAAAATAAAATCCGTTAAAATTTTGCTAAAATCTTAAAAATACCGAATATAGCCGTTATATCGAGGTCTATACGAACACATGGACCTGCATAGCCAACTTATGTCATAAACCATTACAATATTCAAATAGGAAATCTGGTGAATAATGTAGCTAAAATCATAAAAATACCGAATTAGGGAGGTACCGTTATATAGGGAATGGACGATATCGTAGACTAATATAGATAATTCTCTTCCAGGGGTAAAGTACTCAAAAGGAACTCCGCGCTTCTAATTTAAGACAATTTCGTTGAAAATGTGGCTTACATCATAAAAATACCGAATGGGGGCTATACGATATCGTGGTCCGATAAAGCCCATCTTTGAGTTTTTCCTGCCTGCAGACAAAAGACTGATCTGTGCAAAATGTTAGCTTTCTACCTTTATTCTTTTTGACTTTAGCGTGACGAACTTAATTTACCCCATGGTACAATGATATCAAGGTATCGACAAAATCTAGAGTTTTTATAGCGAAATAATCCTTTAGAGATATATAGTACATGATTTTGAAAAGAAGTGTTGACCTTTTATTCAGTTATCGCGGTTTTCAATTATTTATTCAAAATAAATGCAACAAGTTGTTTCATTTTTTATTGTTTTGGTACTAATTCTGACATTACAAGCCAAACAGGTAGACCTCTATACTTGCAATTTTTTCAAAGTTGCCCTACCTTCTCTTCATTGTACTATGATTTACCCCATGTATGGTGGAGGGTATAAAAAATAAACAAAGGCTATAATCGTGCTGGGCCGACCATGTGTTATCCTACAGTACAGGGTGAAATGAAAAAACTGCAACCAAATTCAGTCTGCTGTCAGTTCCAAGCCACTCGTCCGACAGCTGTTAAAATTATTCCAGCTCATCCAGAATTTTGGCCCATTCCCGGCGAAGCGCTTGCTTTAGGTAATGGATACTTTGGTATTTTTTAGTGCCGACCTTGCTTTTCAAAATACTCCAGACACAATAGTCCAACGGATTGGTATCCGCAGATTTTGATGGCCATTGTGCCTTGGAAATGAAGCGAGCAACATAATTTTTTAACCATTCTTGGGTAGCGCGTGCTAAATGCGATGATACTGAGTGCTGTTCGAATATCCTTGATCTGCGACTAAAATTTTTTCGTTCCCAAGGCTTTAATACACCCTCCAGAATATTTTCGCGATAATATTCGGCATTCATTCTCAATTCGATTTATACGAGCGGAGAGCAACCATCGGCTGTTATGGCGGTCCACACCATCACCAAGGCCGGCGCTTGAGTTCTGTTGGCCAGCCAAAGATGTACATTTTCAGCTGACCTCTTTGGCAATTAAACACGATAATATTGTTTGTTTACAAACTGCTTCTGTACGCTTGTAAACAATAAATTGAGCTGTTACTGAAATAATTTTAACAGCTGTCGGACGAGTGGCCTAGATATGACAGCAGTCTGAAGTTTGTTGCAGTTTTATTGGTCCACGACTTAATAGAGCTCCCACAGAACACTACCCCCGATTTCATTTCTCTGGAAGGGTTTGAATATATTTATACCCTACACCACAAGGTGGTCAGGGTATTATGTATTTGCGCATTTGTTTGTAACAGGCAAAAGGAAACGAGATAGACCCATAGTTCCTTTTGATGATCTGCATAGAATCACTTTCTGAGTTGATTTATGCATGTCCGTCCGTCCGTCTGTCCATGTATTCTTGTGAACAAAATGCAGGTCGCATTTATTATCCGATTGAGATGACATTTTGCAAACAACATTTGTTTGGCCCAAGGACGAACCCTATTGAAATTGGAGATAATCGGTAAAAATTTAGATATAGCTTCCATATATATCTTCGTCCGATTTGCCTTTTATTGTGCACCAAACGTGTAATATCAGCTCGAATAGTATGGAATTTTGGGCCTGAAAATAAGTATGCCAAATTTTATCGAAATCGGTTCAGATATAGCTATAGCTCCAATATATATTGTTCATCCGATTTGTTATTTTTGTCCTCCGCAGCCGTAATATGCACTCTGTAACAACAATATTTGGGGAAATATATCAAATGCAGCCCAGAAATACCTTTGCTAAATTTTATGGAGATCGGTTTAGATTTGGATATAGCTCCCATATATAACTTCGTCCGATTTACCATTTATTGTGCACCAAACGTCTAATATTTGTCCAAATGGGATGGAATTTGGCATATACGACCGAATTTAGTCTAGAAGGTAGTATGCCAAATTTGGTGAAGATCGGTTCAGATATAGTTATAGCTCCCATATATATTGTTCATCCGATTTTTTGTATTTGTTACCCACAGCCGTAATATGCACTCCGTAACAACGATGTTCAGGGAAATATATCAAATACAGCTCAGAAATATCTTTGCCAAATTTTATCGAGATCGGTTCAGATTTGGATATTGTTCCCATATATATTTTTATCCGATTTCAAATTAATTTCGCACCAAATGGGCAATACAAGTCCGAATTTAAAAGATACAAATGCTTCGGCATATTTAGTCCTTTGAATTTTAAATTATAATTATAATCATAGGGTGTATGATTGAATTCTCCCATAAAAACTTTCATTTGTTATGTGGAGCTCAACTAAATTAGCAAAGTGGTGTATGGTATCATAAAATCGGCCCCGTCCGACTTTAGGACTTTCTTTACTGGTTTTTCAGTCGATTTTTCTGAAATAAAACATTTATGTTTGGAATATGGAAGCAAATTGGTTGTCACCATTGAACATGTTCTTGATATAGCTCCGTTTTAACCTCGCTACCCAGTCAAAGTGACTTTTAAGATTTTGATACAATTTTCAACTTATTTTGGTGCAATTTACCATTTTGGTTTCTGAGTACACATATCTGTTCTTCCAAATAATTGTCAAAAAAGTCCCACTGTTTGACATACCTCCCATTTTTTAAGGTAGAATAATGTAGATTTTCAATTTTCCTAGAAGAAGAATCATGAGTAAAAAGAGTTTTTTTCTCTCTTGTGCCTGTAATTGGAATTGCACCGTGCAAAATTTTATTCAAAATATGCAAATGAAAGAAATATTTGAAAATGTCATTTCAAATGATAACTTTAGGTTCCAAGAAAATCTAATTGCGTTTTAATATTTAAAAATCGGCGAAATCATCTTTTCGAACTTAAGAGTACGAATTTGTTACATACTTTCGGTATCATATTCTATGGTGGCGTCCCTAGTCCATACGACATTGGTTTGACAAAGAATCTTAAAGCATATTTCCTAAAGATTTGCTACCAGCCAACTTCTAATTACTTCAATCTGGCCTAAGGCAATAATGTCTGCTTTGAATGTGTATGTATGTATGTGTGCGAAGACATAATGTATCCTTGTCCATGTGCAGTAGGGTAATTCCATTCCATTTACATGCTACGGGCAAATGTCTACGAGTGGGTACTTAATGTTACAATGGAGTAAAGAGAAAAGGTTACAGCGACCCTTTAACAATGACCCCATGTTTTTGTGACATACAATGCTGTGATATTACGTCGAAGGAAACGCTTCATTGTCGTCATAACCCATAAAGTCAATGACTTTGCTGAGTAGTTGCCATTGTTGCCAACACTCGGCTACTTGATATCACACGCTTTGTGCGTGCGTGTATGTATGTGTGTGTGGTCGATGGATGTTCTGGCTACCGGTCTCCCACTGTAACTGTTTATCATATTTTGCTCACATTTATAATGGCATTTTGTTGGCTATCTGTTAAACATCAAAAGCAGATGAACGAAACATTGGCATTTTGTGGCAACGGAAAAAATATATGGGTGATTCCAAACAAATTTTGATAATATTGGAGTAAAGGATTTTTTATTATACAAGGGACAAGAAGGGAGTTTCTATTGACGACCAGAAGGGAGTCTCTA